CTCGTCAAAACACTGCGATGCCCGACCCTTAAATGTGCACAGATACGGACATGCATCTACAGGAGAATAAATGCATATCTGTCTGTCTACCTGAAAGATATACATTTATCTATCTATCTGTATGTTAGATATGTCTGTTTAGACTGACAGATATGCACTTATTTCTATGTATATGCATGTCCGTTTAATGAATATTTATATATCTTAACAAACCGCCCACATGATATTTTTGCGTATTATTGCGTAAAAAAATGAAAGGGTCAAAAGATTACGAACATATTTGCAGAAATGCGATAATTTGCAATGACATCATTTAGCGAATGACATAATATATATATTTTTTATCTTTCTTTAGAATGTTCAAAAACATATTTCATATGCAAATAGCGTTCATGCTTACGCGTAAAGAGAGCTGCATTAATTTATGAATAAGCATATGCAAATTATTTACTTCCTAGTTCATCTTTTTTATCCTCCTAGTTAAATAAAATCATTTAAAACTACCATATGTTCGGACACACACACACTAACTCACACACACACACTTACAAATGCACACATGGGCATATTCTTTCTTTCATCTCTCTCTCTCTCGCTTTCGCTCTCTCTCTTTTCTTACTTACTTTTCTCTCTCTCTCACTTTCTCTTTCTCTCTTTGTTTTCTTTAACATACTCTCTATAACTCTCCCTTTCTCTCTCTATCTCTCTTTCTTTAAAATTCTATCTATAACTCTCTCTCTATCTCTCTTTCTCTTCTTTGAATTTCTCTCTATAACTCTCTCTCCATCTATCTATTTATCTATCTCTTTCTTTAAATTTTCTCTAAATTTCTCTCTCTCTCTCTCTTTTCTTTAGCTTTGTCTCTCTTTCTCTCTTTGTTTTCTTTAACTTTCTCTCTATAACTCTCCCTCTTCCTCTCTTTCTATCTCTGTTTCTTTAACTTTCTCTCTCTCTCTCTCTCTCTCTCTCTCTCTATATATATATATATATATATATATATATATATATATATATATATATATATATATATATATATATATATATATATATATCTTTCTCTCTATGATTCAATAACTCTTTCTCTCATATACAAATATAACACCCATACTATAATTAATCGCCAGTATATAACAATCTAGCACCGAAAAATATTCCATGAATTAGACAGGATGTCATCTATGGAATTCCAGCTGCGAAAATATATGCACGTTTCGTTCATGAAATTTTCGCATAATATTTGACTTGCTGACCATCCTCGCATGGTAATTCCCCTTCAGTAAAATCCTCGTCCTGTTCTTTCAGCCTCCTCTTTTAAAGCCGCTGCTGGACATAGGCCTTTCCCAGACTTTTTCCAACGTCGTTCTGTTTCCATTCTTGCAGTATTAATGCATTTGAAACTCGCTGACTCAACAGGAACGGCCTTAATGTAGCTTGACGTGTATCTTGAAGGGGAGAGAGTGGGCCATACCCTACCACGCTGGTCCAGTGTTCACGTTAAAAGTTTTGTAACTGTTAATTTCCCCCTTTAGAATGAATACATCCTAAACTGACGTTGGGATATTGTACGTTATAATGTGAAATGCGTAACCCTTTAATAGATTTTTAAAAGGCTTTCTTGAATTCCAAGCATAATTAACATGTAAAGTCTTTCTCTTTTTATATTCCATTCTGGGTTTATCTAAGTTGCCCTTAAATGCACGAACAAACTAAGGTATGTTATATAAAAAAAAACTAAGGGAGTCGGACCTTTGTTTTCTGTCCATGTATAACCTACAACCATCCTAGATGTTAATTGCATATCATCATGTCATTATAACACCATTCATAACCTCTTTAAACCAGCCTTGACACGCCAAACCCAGACGGGTATAACGTTAAGGTAAACAAAACAAAATTGACCGGCCGAAAGTAGCTCAGGAACCGGGACTGTGTCTGGTGAATGGAACTTGGGTTTTACATACTAACCGTGCAGATCGTAATGATAATTCTTTAAAGTTTTTCCGGTATTGGTATTGATGGGCACGAGGTGGTTGGGTATCACCATGGCTTCGTCTTGTTGTGACAGGTAGTCTTCGAAGGCCATATCATCTTCTAAGCATAATGTGTCCTTTTCTGAACATTTAAACTTTGCCTCAGGGATCTATATCTTTCTCTCCTGAATAACGGAATAGAGTGATTGATTTCCAGTACGTCTGGAAGTGCTAAATATAGAATCAAGACTCTAACTATTGTATAACTCGGATCTAGAGACAGGAAAGTCTCCCTTCGACTAAGGTAACAAGAGAATGGGAGAAGATATTAACTGGTACAGTCGCGGTCAAAAACTTTGTCGAGCATGTTTCGAATTCCGCTTCGAACATCCGCTTAATACCTTACTTTTTGCATAGGGTAAGACAGATTCGAAGCCTCAGTTCGTTTAAGAACTTTTGTCCACCACTCTACCACAAGACACCAGGACGAAAGACGGTAGTTTAGCACAAAATCTCCGCCTTTTGGGTACTTTTTTCCGGACACACATTGGCTATATAAACAGGATACGTATCCTTAAATACATATAAATACATTAAGGAAAGAAAATATACTGATGTAAAAGATCAATTTCCACGTTAATAATGACATCATGACGAAGCTGCTAAGTACGAAGAAATATGCCAAGCAACTTCAGATGAAAGAAAACGTTCAACAAGAGAATTTAGAAATATAAATCATGCAGAACACACTCATGGAATACTAACACAAAGGGGGGGAGGGGGGCTAGGGCATTCAGGGATGCAAAAACGGGAATGTAACAAATGCAAATGAGGCAGATTTCTTGAGTAAATTCCATTGAGTATTCCATAAGCAGAATAGTTCAAGGAGTCAAACGAAGTGATTTCTGAAGCCCTCTAAAACAGCTGATTAAAACTGATAACATTCTGCCTTTATATTTTCCCTTAATATATAACACACCATTATCCCCACGATGTATGTATGTATATATATATATATATATATATATATATATATATATATATATATATATATATATATATATATACATTTCCCCCTCTTCTTTCTTTTTCGTTTTTCGTGTTCTTTTTTTGTTGTTGTTGTTTTTCTTATTCTATCATCAGTTCCCTAGAAAAGCTATTTCCAACTTTCCCACAATGCACGACCATATACAACCAGTCTAATCTATCTTATCATTATGCTTATATATATAAACAAGTATGATGAGAGGAAAGGTTAGATCAGTAGCGATTCGAGGAGGTGTCATGGCGTCTGATTCTATTTTTGGAAAAAAAAAGCACATGGGGTTTATTTTGATGACGTCATAAAAGTTACGGCTGCTTCGTGAATATGGTCGATCATTTTGGTCTCTCCATTTTTCAAAAAGGATGGAAAATAATGGTTTTAATGGTTATATTTTCATCGAACAAACATCAAAACAGACGCCATGACACCTCGAGTTACTACTGATCTACCTTTTCCCGCATAATCAGACCTATTCTCACTAATTTTTCCATCCTCTCTCCCCACCCCAGGCATTTTCGCATGGAGGGTGACTCCGTGCCTTCTCAGGTCATGACAGTCATACCCGTTGACGTGACAGCCCCTGGCACGCCGCTCTCCCTTGCCAACCGCATTTCCCTCTGCACTGTTCCCCTTCCAACGGGTGAGTGGTTTTGTAAGAAAAAATGAATTAGTTAACCTTGGTAGATCCGTTTTCTTTGATGAGGTAGGATTTCATGTCCCGTTTTCTTTTATGTTGTATTTTCTCTCATAATTTAGATTGATTTTTTTTTTTGCTGGTAATGTATATACATATCGAAATAGATAGATAGATGAAGAGAGAGAGACACACACAGACAGACAGTATATATATATATATATATATATATATATATATATATATATATATATATATATATATATATATATATATATATATATATATATATATATATATATATAATATATATATATATGTGTGTGTGTGTGTGTGTGTGTGTGTGTGTGTGTGTGTGTGTGTGTGTGTGTGTGTGTGTGTATATATATATTATATATATATATATATATATATATGGTCCCATATTTTTTCATTTCTTAATCTTTATATTTGTGTATCCACTTTATTTTATCTCATCTTGTCTGCAGTATCCTTTTCGTCTCTGTGTCTCTGTTCCCTTTGTTTCATATTTCAATCTTTTATTCATTACATAATTTCTTTGTCTCTCTGTTCTTTAACTTATTTCATATTTCCTATTTTAATTCGTTTATTTATATCTTCTTCTCTTAATTCTTTTTTTTTTTACTTTGTTGAGACTTTTTAAATCCTATTTACTAATTTTGCTATCTCCCTTTTTCTAGTATTCTAGTTCTACCTTTGTTTATTTACTTATTCTTGTTTTGTCTTCATTTTTCTCTTCTTTGTGGCTTCAGTCGAGATTTCTTCCTCGGTCTTCCTCTTCCCATCTTTATTCATTTATTTATTTTTAACTTGTTATTAATTTTTTTTCTGACTCCACAATCCCCAAATCTTACATAGAATTTTTTTTTCGTTCTGTCTTAACTCCATTCCATTATTTTTTTCCATCTCTTTCTCTTTCAATACATTTATTTATTCACTTTTTTTCATTTCCTCATGTCTTCATCACTTCTTTGTGACTTTAGGCGAAATGTCCTCCTCTGCCTCCCTCTTCCTATATTTATATTTTTATACGTTATCAACTATTTTTCTTTAATTTTTTTTGTTTCCATCTTTTCTTAATCGTCCTTTACATTTATTTATTTTTATCATTATTTCGTCATGTCTTCATCACTTCTCTGTGACTTCCTCTGCCTTCCTCATCCTAGATTTATATGTTTACATATTAACTATTCTTTCTGTTTCCACCTTATTTATTCAGTTATTTATCTTAATCTTCCATACATATATTTATCTTAATCTTCCATACATTAATCTATCTTAATCTTCCATACATTTATTCATCTTAATCTTCCATACATTCATTTATTCACTTTTTTTTCATTTCGTCAAGTCACATCTTCCTCTGTCTCTCTCGCCTTATATTTATATCTTTACATATTATTAACTATTCTTTCTGTTTCCACCTTATTCATTCACTCTTTTATTTCATGTCTTCATCACTTCTTCGTGACTTCCTCTGCTTCCCTCTTTTCTTAATCTTGCTTGACATTTATCTTTTTTTTATTACTATTTCGTCATTTCTTTTTTCATCATTTCGTCATGTCTCATCACTTCTTTCTTCGCGTTTTTTTAGGCGAAATGTCTTCCCTGGAGCGGCTGGAGCAGATCCATCGGCGCATCAACATTCTGAAGATGTCACCTGATGTCATGGCCAATTACTTCGCCCTTGACCTCATTTCCAACCTCCTGCCAGCTGCCCTCGCCCGCCGTGCCCTCAATACCCACGGGGTGACTATGGTATCTTCCAACATGCCAGGTAAGGAAGGGGAGGTGGGTGGGTGGGTGGGGGGGGGGGGGTGAGGAAAGAGGGGGGGGATTTTCTCTTTCTCTTTTTTTTTCTCTTTCCTTTACTCAGTTATTAATTCATGGATTCATCTGCTCAGCTCTCTCTTTCTCTCTCTCTTTTCTCTCTTCTCTCTCTCTCTCTCTCTCTCTCTCTCTCTCTCTCTCTCTCTTCTCTCTCTCTCTCTCTCTCTGCTTGTTCATTTGTTCATATTTTTCCCAATCCGCGATAAAAAATCATATATACACAGCCTTGTCTCAATAACTGCCCCCAGCCCCCGAATCAAAAATACTGTGATGTTTTCTATACACAGCCTTCCCTCAGCACCCCCCTCCCCTCATCAAGAAAAAAAAAGAAATAAGAAAAAGAAGAAAAAAGACACCGTCTTACCTCTCAACTTCCTGCCACACAAGCATGCGCACCACAACGTGTCTGCTTAAGGACCGCGTCGCCAGCTTAACCTCAAGAAGCCCTATGGAGGCTTATATGGTCTTGCATTCCAGTGTAGATGCTCGTGGTGGTGGAAATGTTGGAGGGAAATTCATCCTGGATTTCATGGGCAGGTTTTGTGTATATACTCTTTGTAATGTTCTTCTTTCTTCCTTCTTTTACTGGTGTAATATGTGGTGTTGGTGTGTTTTAATCCGTTTCATTGTTTTTTTTTTTTTTTTTTTTTCCTCAGGTCCCAAAGAAGCGATTAAACTGTTCGGTCAGCCTGTGGACGACTTAATGTTTTGGATTCCTAACAAGAGTAGAACAGGTAATGATGAGAGACGCAAATGCAGTATCGTGTGTTTGTGTAGTAGATCAGTGGTTCCCAAACTCTTCCAGGCTTTCGGACACTTGGCTTCCAGTTGAATTCCTAGCCCCTCCCCCCCTCATACACACATTCGAACACATTTTTTATTAGTAGTATGTTTCAAATTGATAAAAAACAAGATTGAACACAACTTGCATATCTGTCCCTTTACCTTAATGTTGATGACAGATATTTGTCATTCATATTTTGTAAAACAAGAGTTATATTATTAACTCTCCTTATGCCATGATGTCGCCCTCTCCATTTTTTCTTTCTTTTTTTATCACTTACTTCCCTTTCCCACCGCCCCCAAAGGGATGGTATGCTCACTTTAGAATAATGGTGTAGATGAAGAGAACAACAGTTTTAGTTAAGGGAACAAAAATCTGTCTCCCTTTTTGTTGTGGAATAAGTGACTTTATTTGGGATTTAGAAGTCTAATGTTATAATAATACTTGCAACAGTTTGATCTCGAATTAAAATGAATAAATAGATAAAATAAAAGATACTAAAAATAAAAGGTTGGCATGATCGGAAACTTCACACTAAACTTTAAAATTACGTTATTATTTGAATACATTATAAAGAGCAGAAAAAAAGAAAAGTAGCGCCATATTTACCGCAAATATTGTTCACTTATCAAGTTAGTTCATCCTACACCCATAGCCATAAACCAAACCATAACTGCTCTCCACTACCAACATACATTGTAGCTCTACCATTTACTAATTCATTCATTCATTTATAGGTCGTGTCAAGCCATTTTGAGATAGCATTCCAAGGGGTGCGAGAAATGTCCATCTTGAAGACAAATAATTAATCTATTTATTACTCATAATCAAGAAACAGGAAGAAAAGAGATATTGAATTGAATATTCATTTATGTAAACGTTTTAAAGTTAGTTCTTTGACTCTTACATGGAGATATTTCAAGTGATTATTTTTTGTGGGGTTAGCAAGTAATCTGGGACATGTTTTCTTGTCTATTTGTTTGATTTTTGTTAACATTTTATCTGAAAACGAAAAAAATATTTCCTTTTGTTGACCAGATTCAGTATAAAATCACCTCCTTTATCCTTAAATAACCTATAAATTTAAGGAGGGTGTGAGGACAGTGTTTAGTTTTTTCAGGATGTATTTACTCCTGGTGTCGTTCCCTATATGCCGAAGGAAAGTGTGTGTGTGTGTGTGTGTTTATATGTGAGAGTGTGTGGGCGTGTGAGTGTGTGCGCGTGTGTCAGTGTGTGGGTACGTGTGCGTGTGTGTGTATGTCTGTCAGTGTGTGCATACGTGTGCGTGTGTGTATGTCTGTCAGTGTGTGCACACGTGTGCGTGTGTGTGTATTTGTGCATTACCCTAAACGACCTTTAAAACCCCTACCAAAAGCTGCCTTTTATTCACCATTTCTTCCCCCTTCTCAACGCGCATTTCCTCCTGTTCTAACGCGTGCCTCCCCCCCCCCCCCCTCCGAAGGCCTGGGCGTGTCCATGCTGAGCTACTGCGGCCGCGTGCGCTGCGGCCTCAACGTGGACTCGGCGCTCATCCACACCGCCGAGTTCGCCCAGGAGCTGATGGACAACATGGCGTCCGAGGTGGAACACGTCCTCGCCGAACTGGCGTCTCCTGCGGGCGGCGCGGGAGATCACTGCCAAGTTCTGGTGGAGGAGAGCGACCACAGCGTCATCACCGACCACGGCCTCAACTACAGCACCGACGAGTACTCCGACCGCTCCGGCGTGAAGACTTACTCCGACCTCCGAGACAGTTCGGACACAAGGCAGTTCCTCGACCTGGAGGAGACGGTGGTCGGCCTCGAGGAAACGGAGAGCGCCGAGAGCCACCACCTGCTCGAGGACTTCCAGAACGAGAGGCTGGAGATTCAGACGATCGTGAGGAGCGAGTCGAACTTGAGTCGCCACGTCGGGGAAATGGAGGCGAGGTTCGCCCTCAGCGACACGAATCTGAAGGGAGTCACGTACTCGCAGGAAAGGTGAATTTCGTGTGCTTCAGAGGAACTTTAATAAAAAAGATATACTATCTTCGTGTTGCAATCATCATGTCAAGAGTGGTTCATGTTGCTAAATACCCGTGGCCGTTCTCACAAACATGAAGTGAAAGGTGTCCAGAAAAAAAAATAATAATAAATGTCCCCAGTCCTAATTCTCTCTCTTTGATCGCAATTTCACCTCGCGAAGAGAAATGTCTTGTCACTTCTGCCCGAACGCTTTCCGCTTGACCAAAACTCTTGGAACTGGATAATGTGTCAATAGATGTTCATAAACCCTTAGAAGTAATATGCACATTTTTGTTTGTTTTAAAGACGAAGGAAAACTTCAGTAATTTATTCAAAGACACTTCCGACAGCTAGAAGGAACTAGAGATTCATTTTGTAACAATAACTATAATAAATATTTAACCCAGCGGCTCACCTTTTATGTGAAAATTACATATCGCTAAGTGAATTGAAGACGGTCAAGGTGTGATAAATCTTATGCACTCAAATAGAAATGTTTGCAACAGCTTTAAAAAAAACTGAAAATGAAGATTATTACATTTTTCCTTGATTTTGTCTTGGTTTACCGTGTTTTAATAATGTGTAACAATGATCAGGGGCAGAGAAGATAATAATGGATGTACAAGCTAAACAAAAAATAAAATACTGGAGCTTCTGCTAAAACTATTGTTGTTCTTTCATCAACACACGATGAAAGTAATAACAAATAAACAAATTAATTAAAATACGATTTTTTTCATTCATTCCTTAGATGCGTTATGAAGCCAAGATAAAAAAAAAAAAAAAAAAAAAAAAGTTATTTTCTATTTCACTGTACACAGCAGACTGTCTATTTGTTCATTTAACTCTTTATTCTTTCATACATCCCCTACACACACACACACACACACACACACACACACACACACACACACACACACACACACACACACACACATATATATATATATATATATATATATATATATATATATATGTATATGTATGTATATGTATATGTATATGTATATATATGTATATATATATATATATATATATATATATATATATATATAGAGAGAGAGAGAGAGAGAGAGAGAGAGAGAGAGAGAGAGAGAGAGAGAGAGAGAGAGAGAGAGACAGAGAGACAGAGAGACAGAGAGACAGACAGACAGACAGACAGACAGAGAAAAAGATAAAGTGTTAGAAACAAAAATGATTGGCGTGTGCTGTGCCTGCATTCTAAACAAAGCATGAGTTTCCCGTTTTCTTCTAAATCATCTCATTTGTTTTAGAAATAGAAAACGTGGTAAGCACATTGGCTGGGAATTTTATTTGTAAGAAATGAATAGACAGTAGACATACAAAAAAGTGATGCATACAATAACATTCTCTTTTCTACATTTTGTATACGTATTCTCATACCTACTACGTTTTTTTTTTTTTTTTTTTTTTTTTTTTTTTTTTTTTTTTTTTTTTTTTTTTTTTTTTAATAAAAACGTACATTATTATGAATGGAGAGATAGGTAGATGGTCCATTAAAACATCGTTTCGTTTTTAGTGCATGCACATAAACAGATAGGCTTTTATACATTTTTTTCATAACCTGCATAGCTTTTTTCCATTCATTAACCAACATTCTGCCACTAACTTCCACTAACTCACTAGTTCAATCAAAATAATAATCATTTCTTTTCTTTTCTTCTGTAAAACAAAAATGACTGCATTATGCTAGACCCAATATCTTCGACACAAGCGAACAGGATAGCTTTTGTCTCCCAAACACAACGATCCAGTCTAGATATTGGATCAGAGCACAGCGTTCATATTCACCTTCCTGACAACTATCAACAGACTTTCACTGGCCTTTTAATGCTCCTATCGCTTTCACTTTTCACTCGCCTAAAAGCTGCATTCGTGTTCATGTTTTATAAGCCACACGAATACGTTACTGGCTCTCGGAGATATTTTAATACGAATTTTGAACGAAACTTAAACACCTCAGCCTTCTCTCACATAAACTTTTAGGCTTCCGCCCTCATTACTGGACGCATGACACCATAAACAACAATGGCGGACATCGAAAGACTTCTTGTCACAAAAGATGGCGAGCAACAAACAAACAAAAATCTTTTCCTAATCCCTTATAAGTAACTTTCTTTATCAACAAACTACAATCACCTCTTCAAATTATCACTTCTTGTGTCTAAATTGGTTCAACATTCCATAGTCACTTTTATTTTTGTGGCAACAGAATTTCAAAGGCCTACTTAGCCAAACAAATCTTAATTTCACCTTACAGATTTAAATGTATGGTTCCAGTTCATAAAGTTTAATTCATACATGCATTTGTAGGCCTTTTCTCACATAAACACCACTTTCACTGCACAGAAAGCCAACCCTAGCAAGCACAAACCGTGTCTTATTTAGATTGAAACACTCATATTGACCCTCATGATGAGTTCAGTTCAATTTACCATCTGACCTACTCCAGGAAGTCTGTCGTTTGTCATTCTGGTGAGACTCAACATTAACTTACACAGCTGTTGGAGGTCAGAATAGGTCAGTGGTTTCCAACCTGTAGGCTCCTTGGTATTTGTATAATGAGAACTATGAATTTAGCGGAAGTTGAGAACCTCTGTAGAAAAAACGAGCACAACCAGTGAAAGGAATGGCGGTTTCTTTCTGCGATATTTATTGACATGAACCGACTTTGCAAACAAAATGGCAGCATTGAGGGAGGGAGCGTTTGGAATTGGTCTAAGGTCTGCTTTTGCCTTGCCTTGTTGGCCGAGAACCATCACACTTTTCGGAGTTCAAGAACCGCACGAGTCTGACCTATTTTCCCTGGAGTCCATTGAGGGCGTGAGGCTCCGTGAGGGTGCGCACTCAGGGTCCGACGTCTCACGGGAGCAGGAGTCCAAAGTCGAGACAAGGGCTTCTTAGGACAAGAGACAGGTTGCTAGCTCTCTACATGGCTAGGGGCTACTTACTGCTTGCCCTATGGTATCATGCACGACCATTTTATTATGTTAAGAAATTCAAGTAATGCAGGGATTATTGTTGATTTACAGACACACACAGACACACAGACACACACACACACACACACACACACACACACACACACACACACACACACACACACACACACACACACACACACACACACACACACACACACACACACACACACACACACACACACACACACACATATTCTTAAATTCTTAATTGGAAATAAGCATCAAAGTCTGAAAGCCATGGTAAACTAAATTCCTTCTTGACAGCCTTGCAAATCCTTTTCAAACCTAAACAAGAGAACTCATTTTGGTTGGATCTTTATTTTGACTTACCCCTTAAATAACCTTAATTCAATCTCTTAATGAGTAATGGTTGAAACAAATAAATGTAGTAGACATCTAAGGTCATATAGCCCTATGTTAAAGTATTGTGTCGAAAAGGGTTAAAATGTATTAACGATTACCATAAAGACTGTTAAAAGTCAATGGTTATAGTGTTATAGAATAGCATGATAGGGAAATGGGTAAAGTATATCAGAGATAAGTAAAGGAAAGGGTTATGGTCAATCTCTTAAGTACAAATAAAATACTCCAAGTTTATTGTCATGTAGTCTCACTGTGACTTGTCTTTGAAATATTCTTGATATATTCTCTAACCTATCATTACTATATTCTCTTCCGTATCCTAGATATTGTCATTGAAAATATTCTTAGGCGAAGGGAGTGACAGATAAGCCTTGTCCACTGTGATTTTAGTTTATTGTTTCCACAGTCACTAATAAGTTGGTGATTATTCCTACGTATTTCACTGATTTACAATTTTCTTTGCTTTTAGAAAGATTCAGTTTTATCATCTTATTATTCTAATTGTTATTACTATTTTATTAACATTATAATAATCATAATATATATAATAATTACAAGAATCTATATTAACATCTTTAGAAGAAAAAAAAAAGCTAATTCAAGGAATGGGGCAAATAGGTGCATTTACTAGGGCCTATTATTTGACTCTTAGGTGGCTGAGCACTTGTAGAGCCCATCTGTATGCTACAAAATTTACAAAAACGAGAGTACAACACTTACATCCAAGGTCAATGAGTTAGTATGACCTAGCTATGATCTCTACTTAATATAACCTACCTATGAAGTATACTTGGCATTATCTTTCAAGTTTGCTCAATAAGATGCATTTCTGAGGTACCCTGAATGTGGGTTATGTATGTCTGAAGTACCCTTATTAATCAGGAAAATGAAACTTGGGGGAAACTACATCATTAAGTCTTTATTGACTGTTTTTACACTTCATAAATTACAAATGGTCAACCACTCTCCTCTACAACTGCTATTTGGTCTCTACTCTTGTCTCCAATTTTACATTTTCATTGTCAAAAGCTATTGATAAAAGAAATACATTTCCACTGTAGATGATATGAAACAAATTCATAAATAATGACAATATGGAAAGATGCAAAATATTGATTTGTTCTCTGTCTTCCATTTATTTTTATTTATTTATTTATTTTTCAACACATTCTAGAGCATCATCCTATGTGCTTATTTTCCAGCATTTCGGAATAAAGAAAAAAAAAATATGCGAATAACTTTACCGAACATCAAAAATTAAACCACCTGATACGTGCACCAGTAACCACCTGGCTTAGGGCTCCTAATTATACAGTAGAGCAAGTAAACCAAAGAGCATCTACTGTGTAATCTGTATACTAAACCGTGGTCCTTCAGCCTCCCTGCTTCACAATCCCTAACACAACCTTTTATTTATTTATTTTTTTACTTCCAAATTTGGTCTCTCACAAGGTTTATTGCCATAACTGTATGGTATTTCTTTCTTCTTTCTTCTTGTTTTTCTTCCACTTACTCCTCCTCCTTCCTCTTCTTCTCTGCTTCCTAATTCTTCCTCTTCCTCTTCTCCTCCTACTGTTCCTTTTTTTTATCCTCCACTTTCTCTCTACTATTCATCAGCTGTATCTGATTACACATGGATGAATATTCTTTTGAGAGAGAAAAAATATATTTTTAAAATATCTCATTTATTCATTTGTAAAAAAAAACAAAGACAAAAACAAAAACAATAAGCAATAATAATAAAAAAATGAAGAAAGAGAAAGAAAGAACAAAAAAAAAAGCTTGTGATCTGTCATTGTACAATAGATAGAGAGGATCACTAAGTTTTAAATGCATGGCCTTTTTTATGTTTATTCTCAAGGTAAAATCTCAACGTCCTTTTGACTTGATTTATTCATTTATTCATTTCTCATATAATTCACTAAGGGATAAACAAGACAATATTCATTCATTTTTGGGGGATATAAAAAATAAATGTCCCTTGGTCGGGGAAATAAGGTATAAAAATTGATGGAAATTTGTTGATTTTTTGCTATAAATCTTTACATTCCAATTAATATTTGTAAAGTTAACTTCAGGCATTCTTACCAGTCGTCTTTATTAAATCTGAGGGGAGAGTTAGAGGGCAGGGGGTGAGAGAGAGAGAGAGAGAGAGAGAGAGAGAGAGAGAGAGAGAGAGAGAGAGAGAGAGAGAGAGAGAGGAGAGAGAGAAGAGAGAGTGAGAGTGAGAGTGAGAGTGAGAGTGAGAGTGAGAGTGAGAGAGAGAGAGAGAGAGAAGAGAGAGAGGAGAGAGAGAGAGAGAGAGAGAGAGAAAGAGAGAGAGAGAGAGAGAGAGAGAGAGAGAGAGAGAGAGAGAGAGAGAGAGAATTTTCATTTTTCAAGTTACAGCTCATGGATATTAATTTACAGGCTAATACCAAAATCTCAAGACGTTTAGAACTTGTCTCAAACTTCATCTTACAAATATACACTTATTCACCACAGAAATCACTCATTCATCACAGAAAAAAAAGAAAAAAAATAGAAAAAAGAAAAAGAAAAGAAAAAAAAAAAAGGAGAGAAAGCTCTTACTTTGGTCCGAATTCTTCTTTGACCAAAACATCTGAACTTTCTCTCCGTCCAAGCAAAAGCTCTCTGATTTCTCTTCTCGGCAGCTAACCAATGAAAGAAGGCACAAGGGTTACCTATGACATCCACTCAGGCATCATGATTCACGCGTATTCTGCAGAGACAGGAAACAAAAGAAAAGAGAGAAAAGGAATAGCAGGAGGCAAGAGGAAGGGAGGAAGATGATCTCTTTCATAACAGCATTTCACAAGAGAAAAAAAGGAAGAGGAAAATTAATGGAAAATAAGGGGGGGCAAAACACAGAAAATCAGGCAGCTATCACAGTCCTCTTAGCTTCTGAACATTAGGTAACCTGTACCATGTTCTCTTATAAGCAAGTGAATAAATTTTTGCAATTCCCTAGCCCATCTCCAATGCAAATGGCAAAGAATAGCGACATTTATGTTTTTGTTTCTGTTTTTCTCCATTTTTTTTTTTTTTTTTTTTAGAAATGAAATGTAGGAAGTAGAGCTGTAACTTTGCACACATTGTAACACCTATTTACCCATTCACTTTCCAAAACAACCTTATGTGACCAATTCGTGTCTTTTTCTATAATTGTGACATGCTTCCAATTAATCTCTTTATTTTGTTACTTTATATTGCAATTAGATAATTTCCACTGAACCTAAAACCTCTCTCTCAATTTCTCTCTACAAAAGAATAATAAGAAGAAAAAAGGGAAGAAAATGCATCTTAAATACCAATTAAATATTGAAAACTCATCCCCTAAAAGTTGTCTTTCAAATGCTTTCATAATAATGTCACCTAAGACACCATTACGTAAATACAATTACCATCACCTCAAACTGTTTTCACTTAATGTCTGGGTTTCCTATGATGAAAAATCCGGAATTTTTTTCTCTCCCTACGTTACTTATCACCCATTAAAACCTGAAGGAAAATAACATCTTATTTGTAATTTTGAATGTATCTGGGGAGAAACATTAAATTCTTTTGATGTACCATGAAAATATAAATCCAATTTCTTAGAATATGTTTCCAAGTATCAAATACCACAGTTTGTTAACAAAAGAGTTTGGTTCTTAACAAATGCAAAGTACACAGTAATTTAACCAAGCCTTAGACTCCATACAAAATTGAACAAGTTTGACATCACTCTGCACATCACAATTGGCAATGATCAGCTGACTCCTCAAGGAAAAACAACATACTCCACACACTCCAAGCCTCAAAGGTATGTTCCCACATAATACATATTCAATTAATAACATTCTATACAGAAGTCATTAACGATAAGATCTTGTCTTGTTTGTCTATAAGGAAACTGGAAAGGAGGTGTAGGTTCTGGGAACTGAGCACAGGGCATGGTGCCTTTCCAGAATCAAAAACTTTCAAAACTCCTTTCATTACGCATCACAGACATTATGCTAATTCACACAGTTATATGAAAAGCCAAAACTTATAGAACAGGGTACAAACTGTATAAAAACATACAACTTTAGACAGACATAAAAATGTGTCTTTATTATTTCTATTGATGTTACAAGGATTTCTCATTCAACTTTTACTTCATACACTGCGATTTGCTGATGTGTTATCCCAGACATGACAACCTGTCATAATATCTACAGAGATTACCTTCAAATTCATTTCTTTATTTTTGTTCTCACACATTAACTAAAATACAATTTCTACATTTAACAACCTTGATAAAAATGATCATAAAAAATTCTCACAAAACAGTATATTTCATATTAACTGTTAATAGCTTTTAATGGAGTCTAGACTGCCCCCATGACTTTGCGTCTTGTGACAAATCTAACGTCTCACCACATGAACCTAGAACAGGGTTTGTATAAAAGAAACAACTAAATTGCACTTCTCCGTTTGTGACTACAACCGCATTCTTCAACTGAGCTGAGAATGCCAGTCACTCTGGATAATTTCAAACGTACGCACAGATGATCTTAGGAGTGGCCTGCACTTTCGATTGGCAATAATGAAAACCCAGTTCATAAGTGGGGTTAATCAGCTTGGGCCAGCCCCCCCTTACCCCCTCCCCACCCCCACCTGGTGTTTGTAGGTGAGGTGTTTGGTCTGACAGCTGCTTCACTGCGACACCGCTTGCACCTCTACAACTGGTGTCGCACTTGTTCCATTGTTCATGGACATACTCTGTTGATCCTTGTGAAACTTGTCCACCTGAAAAGAAAGTTGAAATTCATTAATATTGCTGGCACCTGTGTAAAAGTAATGCAAAAATTCTTGAGAAACTTCTGCAAAACACATCTGTACCATCACCTTTTGCAACCTGCATTATAAATAAAAGAACAACTCTACAGAAGGCTACCTTGTACTATGACATAAGAGTTAACTTTTATGATACACTAAATTACGTGACAAATTTGGAATACCCTTTTTTTTTAACGACTATTACCGTGTTTCTGTTGCACTGTGAAATCAATAGTTCCCATGTACATTATCAAAAATCAAATCAAATCAAATCAAAGGCAAAATGTTGGTTGGGTGAGAGTTCCATTACAGAAAGAGTCGACAACAAGTAATAGAAGTTTGCAGATTGTGTTAAGTTTTACATTCAATGAACATCTTACAGTTTTTATACTGTCATACCTGCTCTTAGAAATTTAAACTTAGAAGCTTTTGGTATATTGCCAAAGTCAGTCAGTTCTCTATAATATAAAGAAATTCAATTTCTTGACATTTTAACAACATTTTTCTGGAACAACTCCAAATGTTAAAGATCATACCTCCACAAAAGAGAACCAAGTGTGTTAAATATACTCAAAACCTGTTAAAGCAGCAACATTGTTTGACTGCTTATATTTAGATTAAATAATAATAATAATAATAATGATGCACATTTATCAGAATTTATGACAAATCATTCATAATAATAAATGTTCTAAAATGCCTATGCGGCATTTTGGGGAGATCTACAAAAATATGCTTATTTCTACTGTATCTGAAAGTGAATGAACTCAGAATTATTGTATAAAGCTAGTTTCATAATGCATTCTGTTTTACATAGTGAACTAAAGGAAAACTAATCCAAAGCATTTCAATATTCTGGCATGCTGAAACAATAACAAAAGCAAATAATGTCTTCTTCTTCTGAATCAAGTGCACTACCCGTCCATTAGGCATGGCAGGAATCCATCCTTTTTCAAGGCTAAAACATCGGGGAGAGAAGATGCCAGTCTCTTTTTTCACTTAAACATCATCTGAGTATAAATTTCCTTACAAAGGCAGAATCTTCACAGAAAAATTGTTTAGCTGTGAGTGCTATAAAGGCTTCTGTCTGAAGGAGAAAAGAAGTGAAAAGGATGGAATACCTTCAATTTTATCTACATATAAGTATTACATGGGGCCTGGCTCACAACTGAATATAAAAAATAGGAATAGAGGTGGGGGGGAAGGCAAGTTAGCAAGCAGAAGCTGACATACATAAAAAAGAAGTAAAAGGACAAAAAAGAAGAGAAAGAAAAGGACAGAAAGGCACAGAAAAAAACATCAAAGGGGCAGAGAGAAATGAACAGAAAAAAAAGGAAAAAAACACAGAAGATATAGGAAAAAATCCAAACAGAAAATCAGAGCATAACAAGCAAAAGAAGCATTACGACACTTACAATTTTCTTGATGTAATTAAGCTGTAGTGCGCTAACCTCCTTCCCATCCTTGTGCTCTCTCACGTTGTCCGACTGGTATGGAGGCGTGATGAGGACCTGCCCCATCACCAAAATATTTACCCCCTTCCATGTCACCTCCTCTAACCTGTGGGCGGAGAAGATTTGTCAGAAATGCCGAGACAAGGAATGGTTAATGTTTAAAACAAATGAATGTGTTAGACATCAAAGGTCATATAACACTATGATAAAGTACTGTGATGGAAAAGTACTACTCGGGTTTCAACGGTCATATGGTAAGATAATATGTTAGTATAAGGGGTATAAAGGAGGTAGGAAATGCATTGGGATACATATTGATATGGAGGGGAAGGGATAAGGAAAGAGGGCGATTTGATTAAATGGAGAATATTTATGCATCAAAGGAAGGGGAATAAGTTGTCAAAGGAAAAGATAGGGGGTTCTGAGAGGATGTCTGATAGGCTGGGGGATCAGGGAAGTGAGAATAAGTGAGGAAAAGCAGAGATGCAGGTTGCTGTGAAGCAGGGACAGGCTAGTAGTATGTGTGTGACTGAAAGGGGGTCATTGATGTGGGAGGCCTTATGTGCTGGTTTGGTTTGTGACATGAGATAGGATTGTGTGAGGTGAGTGTGTCCAATGCATAGGTGGGCAAAAAGCCAGCAGTCTCCTGGGATACTCTTGATCAAGGAGAGATGGAATGTTTAATGTTATGTAATCTATTAGTGTTTAGGGAGGGTGTCTGATTTTGGTGTATCAGGGAAAACAGAGGAGTAGATACAGGAGGAAAGCCAAGGTGGCTATTTACAGGTAGAAAAAGGTAAGGGTCAGAAGCAAGGAAAAGGTGAATGGGAGAGGAGTGCATCCCTCTGGACAGAGAAAGGAGATAGAGGTAGGCATGGAGAGAAGGTTTAGGAGGAGAAAGGGTTGAGAGACTGTTAGCTTATAGAGGGAAAATTAGTGAAACCGTTAATAACTCCACAGAAAGAGGAGGGCACAGTGTCGGGAGAGGGAAGGTAGGCATGATTCAACATATGAGCTATCAACAGGAGAGGAGCTGAAGGCACCTAGGGCTAAGTGTAGACTGCAATGTTGGATGTATCAAGATGAGTTAGAGAGAAAGTAGAGGCAGAGGAATAGATATGACAGCCTTAGTCAAAAGTGGATAGGATCAGTGAAGTATGGAGATGGAGGAGGGTTTTGTGGTCTGAACCCTAGAATATATGGGAGAGGACCTGTAGGAGTTGGATGTGGCAGCAGGTTTTCTCTTTCATGTAGATGTGGTCTCACAAGGAAAGTTTGAAGTAAAAAAATGAATCTAAAGGAATTTGCCCGAGGAGTGGAAGTGGATTTGATTTGATTTGATATTTATTTACAGAACAGTGTACATGCCCTGTAAAAAGCCAGGGTAAGATGCTACCGCATCTATCCAACTGGCTATGCTTATATTTATGTATACACAAGTGCCCAAGCTGCACCTGGGAAAGAGCCCCCGATCCGACGGGCTATGCTTATATTTTATGTAAAGGGCTATTATTTATGTAAAGGGCTATTAGTCAAACATTAGTTAGAGGAGCATCATATAAAGAGATTGGAGGTTGAGGACCTATACATGATAAGGAAAAGAGGATGCAAAAGGATTTGGAAAAGCAGAAGCCATGATTAGTGACCCAGGAAGAGGTTAAACATATTGCAGATTGGATTTGTTGATGGAGAGTAGGTATACATGGGCCTGATGTATACATGATAAAATCATCTATATAAAGGGAGAATCAGATACCTGGTGGTAGAACTGATATTAAGCCATTTACTGCTATAAGGAATAGAGTGGTGCTCAGTATGCTATGCTCCCTTGTGGGACACTTTCATATTAAGGAAAGGATAAAGTTGAAGAGGAAAATTTGACACAGAAGGTACGATTATTAAGGAATGATTTAATGAATACCCCCATGTTTCCTTGTATGCCACTACTGCATTATAGTCATTAATGCAGGTAAGTAGGTCTTCTTCACAGTCTGGCCAATTTTTGTTATAGACAAGGCAATTACTTGGGGATATTGAAACAGTTTCTGTCTAAGTAGTAAGGGGAGGGGGGGTGAGCAGGGATAGGTT